GTGGGTGGGCTCTCCATAGTGGCTTCCTGTGCAGGGGCGGGGGGTGACAGGCAGGGACAACCTATAGGTCCACCTCCCTGTCTCCCTGGCCACCACCGTTTCCGGGCTATTTTGGGTACCACGGGTGGCGCCTTGCCAACCCCCCAAAGCACAAACGATTTCCTTTCTCTTTTCACGGCTGTGACAAGCTCCGCCAGGTGGCAAGCGACTTGCCCCCGGGGCGCGTCACTTGCGGTTTGGGCAGACCTTCAGAACAGGTCGCTCTGGTGGCGCTGGGAAGGGAACGTGCCCTGGGGACCCGCACATCTGGGTTTCTTAGTGCACAGTCACGATTGCTCATCTGCAAAAAAGAAGATGTCCCCTGATAGGGGACATTTCCAAGCGGTGACCAACAGCCAGGGGTGAATGTGGGCATTCCACCAGAAAGCCCAGAGCTGGAGGCGGGCTGTCCCTTGTCAATGATGGGGGCCCTGGGGCTGGAGGCAGCCGGAGGGAGAGCGGGTGATGGAGGCTCCACCCACAGCAGGTGTTGGGGGGAGGGGAGCAAGTGGCGACCCCCCGGGGACAGGAGAAGCTGCTGGAAATACCAGAAAGCAGCTGGACTCTGCAAACAGGCTGGCTTCTGGAAGCTTCCTGCCTCTGAGCTTGCCTTTCAAGCCTGGGGGGACCCTCAATGGACACTAATCCCTGGGCCTGGGGGAGGGCTCCTCTGCTCAGTTCTCCTTCAGCTGGGGACATAGCAGTCAACAGGACAGGCAAGATCTCTGCCCTGGGGCGAAACAGGGGGAAGCCCAAACAATCCATCAAAAACTTGTGACTGCATAAATGACTGTACATGGGGACCAACTTAAGTGGTCAGGAAAGCCCTGGCTGAGATGGGCATGATGGCGCACGCCTGTCACCCCAGCAGCTGGAGAGGCTGAGGCAGGAGGATCGCAAGGTGGAGGCCAGCCTCAGCCGCTTAGCAAGGTCCTGAGCCACTCAGCGAGACCCTGTCTCTAAATAAAATGGAAAAAGGGCTGGGGACGGGGCTCCGTGGTGAAGCACCCCTGGGTTCAATCCCTGGCACCAAAAAAAAAAAAAAAAAAAAAATCCTGGCGGAGGCACCCGCAGGGGGAGGGACGAGCTGGAATACCAAGATGGGGGGGCGGGGGCAGAGAGTGGCAAAGGCTCAGCGGGTGCAGAGAGGCTCGCCAGCAGCGAGCTCCAGCCGGCTCCAACCTGCTCATGATGGCAGATCCTGCACATCTCTTCTTGGTGACATCTCATTAATAGCTCCAAACCAGGCCTGGTGGGAGCACTGACACTGCAGTTTGGCAAACACACGGGGACCCCCGCCACCCCCAGTTGTTAAGCATTTAACAGCACATCCCTGATTGGCATATCTAGGCGCCAGAGAGGAGGCTTGGGAGCTCGTGAGCAGGGACGAGGCGGGGAGGGAGGCGATGGAGGATTTCCAGGCGGCCAGGTTTGGTGCAGCTCCTCTGGGGAGTCCCTGGAGGCTTCAAAGCAGAAGGGTAACGTGATTTGATTCCACTTTGCCAGACAGAATCTGCAAAGCAGACTCTGGTCCAGGGAACAAGTAAATGGTGGGAGGGGAGATGGATTGATCAGAACGGGGAGTCCAGGCAAGATCTGAATCCAGGGACTAAGGAAAAAACCACCAGCCGCAGCAGAGATTTAAGACAAGAATGAGTAGAGGGGCTGGCCTGTGGGTCTGAGCATGCGCACTGAGGGCTAGAGGCGGGGCTGGGGTAGCAGGGCGTGGCGGCAGGAGGCGGGGCTAGAATAGCAGGGCGTGGCAGTGGGAGGCGGGGCTGGGGTAGTAGGGTGTGGCAGAGGCGGGGCTGGAGTAGCAGGGCGTGGCAAGGCGGGGCTGGAGCAGTAGGGCGTGGCAGTGGGAGGCGGGACTAGAGTAGCAGGGCGTGGCAGAGGCGGGGCTGTAATAACCAGGAGTGGCAGTGGGAGGCGGGGCTAGAATAGGGCGTGGCAGCGGGAGGCGGGGCTGTAATAGCAGGGTGTGGCAGAGGCAGGGCTGGAGTAGCAGGGTGTGGCAGCTGGAGGCGGGGCTGGAATAGGAGGGCGTGGCAGAGGCGGGGCTGTAATAGCAAGGAGTGGCAGTGGGAGGCGGGGCTAGAATAGGGCGTGGCAGCGGGAGGCGGGGCTGGAATAGGAGGGCGTGGCAGCGGGAGGCGCGGCTGGGGTAGTAGGGTGTGGCAGAGGCGGGGCTGGAGTAGCAGGGCGTGGCAGTGGGAGGCGGGACTGGAATAGCAGGGCGTGGCAGCAGGAGGCGGGGCTAGAATAGCAGGGCTTGGCAGTGGGAGGCGGGGCTGGGGTAGTAGGGTGTGGCAGAGGCGGGGCTGGAGTAGCAGGGCGTGGCAGAGGCGGGGCTGTAATAGCCAGGAGTGGCAGTGGGAGGCGGGGCTAGAATAGGGCGTGGCAGCGGGAGGCGGGGCTGTAATAGCAGGGTGTGGCAGAGGCGGGGCTGGAGTAGCAGGGCGTGGCAGCTGGAGGCGGGGCTGGAATAGGAGGGCGTGGCAGAGGTGGGGCTGTAATAGCAAGGAGTGGCAGTGGGAGGCGGGGCTAGAATAGGGCGTGGCAGCGGGAGGCGGGGCTGGAATAGGAGGGCGTGGCAGAGGGAGGCGGGGCTGGGGTAGTAGGGTGTGGCAGAGGCGGGGCTGGAGTAGCAGGGCGTGGCAGTGGGAGGCGGGACTGGAATAGCAGGGCGTGGCAGCAGGAGGCGGGGCTAGAATAGCAGGGCTTGGCAGTGGGAGGCGGGGCTGGGGTAGTAGGGTGTGGCAGAGGCGGGGCTGGAGTAGCAGGGCGTGGCAGCTGGAGGCGGGGCTGGAATAGGAGGGCGTGGCAGAGGCGGGGCTGTAATAGCAAGGAGTGGCAGTGGGAGGTGGGGCTAGAATAGGGCGTGGCAGCGGGAGGCGGGGCTGGAATAGGAGGGCGTGGCAGAGGCGGGGCTGGAGTAGCTGGGCGTGGCAGCGGGAGGCGGAGCCTGCAGGTGCTGCCGCAGAGCCCACTTGTGCCGAGACAAGGCAAAGCCATATTTGGGGCAACCAGCAGTGGGGCAGCCAGGTCCGTCAGGGAGCTCCCCAAAGCTGCACGCCTCTATGGGTAGAGCCCATGGTCCCCCCTGCATGTCCCCCAGGGAGCTCAGTGGCTCCAGAGTGGCTGTCAGGTTCTCCTGGGGCTGCCTTCTGGCTGCCATTGCGTTCCAGGGAGTAGAAAGGGTGGCTGCAGAGAAAGACCCCCAAGGGTTTCCCCACCTGCTTGAGTGCGGAGTGGATTCTGTCGACAGGCAGTGTCAGGCTTGGTGACGTGTCTGGTGCCATTTCTTGGGGCACCTAAATGCAACCCTGAAGCTCTCTCCTGCCCCATGGTCCCTGACCGCGGTGAGGAGCAGATTTATGGTAAGATCTGGCCTCGTCCTTTGACCTGTTCTGCAGTTAAACTGTAGCATGAGTTAATCCAGCAGCTGCTGCGTTCCCAAAGGATGTTGGAGTGCTTGAACCATCCCTTCCGGAAGCTCAGCCCCTTCAATATGGAAATAATGACTGGTTAGAGGTTCCAGCCCTGTGGACGGCTGGCCCCAGAAACATCCAGAGGGCAGGTGTAATCTGCCCAAAGCAAAATTGAGAGAAGTAGCCGGGCGTCGTGACGCACACCTCTCCTCCCAGCGACCCAGGAGGCTGAGGCAGGAGGATCTCCAGTTGGAGGCCAGCCAGCCTCAGCAGCTTTCAGGAAAGAAAGAACAGGGGGAGACAGATGCTAAAGGTGATTTAGAAACCAAGATAAAATAAAAACACTCCTAAAATAAAATCCGTAGCAGGCAAAACAAACCGGTGCCCTCACCAGTTCATACAACTTGGCCAAAAGGAACGGTAGAAAGGACACAGCATTCTGAGCAAGTTGGTTATGCACTCAACAAACCCAGCACCTGGCTCCTACCTTCACAGAACTGAAGATGAGGAGGCCTCTCTGAGATAAGGTCTGGGTTCTGAGCCCACCCTAGACCTGAAAGCATATCCAGGTGGGGAGATATTCTGAGATACGTTTTTTAACCAATGTGCTGTGTGACCCCGGGCGGGTGGACTTACCGTCTCTGAATTTTGCTCTCCTCTGTAAAGAAGAGAAAGCATTCAGCGACAACGACGACGGGGAGGATTCAAAATCTGCTAGGTGGCATTAACAAGGGAACTGACAGGTAGTCGAGGCTCTTTAAAATAGCAGCTGTGATTATCCATCTCTGGCTCGCCCCCAACCTCACCCCTGACAGTTAGCAGCCAGCGTCTTGAATTCTCTCTGCCTAAAGGGAACTCGAGGTCCCCAGGGATTTTCTGCTAAGAATCCGAGTCTTGAAAATTGGATATTTAAGAATCAAAATTGCCCCCCGCCCAGGGGAGGGGGGGAACCAGTCCCGATGGGAGCCTGCCACGTGCCCGCCCTCTACCTGTGCTATGAATCAGCACAAGTGACATCCACCAGCATCAACTTGCATGTTATCACGGTCTTTTTCCAGGTGAAGAAACAAAGTTTTGCCGGTTGGTACATGGCCTGGGGCTCCCAGGGAGAGGCAGGATCTGGCCTCCGTTTTGGCCCGGCTCTCAAGTCTAATTTTTTTTTTTGGGGGGGGTTGGGGACTGGGGATTGAAATCAGAGGTGCTTAACTACTGAACCACATCCCCAGCACCCCCCCACCCCATTTTAATAGATTTTATTTAGAGGCAGGGTCTGCCTCCCTAAGTTGCTGAGGCTGGCCTCCCTCTTGGGATCCTCCTGCCTCAGCCTCCCCACTGGGATGACAGGTGGGCACCAACATGCTGGGCTCAAAGTCCAGTTTTTTCCCCCCATGTGCCAGGCCCAGCGCTCTGCCACAGAGCCCCAGCCCCACAGCCCCCAGGGTTTGGTCCTGATTCGTTGTGACTCTAGGCGCCGCGGGGGGGGGGGGGTCTCTTGGACTTTGCTAACAGAGTTCCTTCTTCCCTCCTTAGGGCCCTTATGTTTGTGTCCCATGGTGCCGGGGAACACTGTGGCCGCTATGACGAGCTGGCTCAGATGCTGATGGGGCTGGACATACTGGTGTTTGCACATGACCACGGTGAGTGCCCGGGTGGGGCAGGGGAGGCTGGCCACGCGCCGTCGGTCCTACCGCCATCCGCCATCCGTGCTCTTTCTGCATGATGTGACTGTTTCGAAGTTAAGGACATGTTGTCATGTGAGCCGAGAAATAGGTGTGACCAGCACCCCGAGAACTTGCCCCAGGGCCAGTAACCCTCCCTTCCGTCTATCAAGTGCTCTCGTGCAAAATGGGCCCTGGATTTCTCCCAAGGGACTCCCAATGGATGTGGTGAGGCTGTCCAAGTCGTAGGCGCTCAACCCCGGATGAATCCCAAGAGGTTCCCAGAGTATGTTCAGCCAGGAGAACAGAAAACGTCTCAAAAGACCACCTGGGCCCCCCAAAAAACATTAAACAAGTGATCTCAGGGACTCGGGAGGCTGAGGCAGGAGGATCGCAAGGTGGAGGCCAGCCTCAGCCACTGAGCAAGGCCCTGAGCAACTCAGCGAGACCCTGTCTCTAAATAAAACATAAAAAGGGCTGGGGATGGGGCTCCAGGGTGAAGCGCCCCTGGGTTCAATTAACACGATTTGTAACAACACTGATGTCTGTAAATCTGAGGCTGAGTCTAATGGCAGGTACCTCGTGGCTCAAGTGTATCCTAGCATTTGGTTATTTAGGCAGACGTCTTAAAGCACCGGGTTTGTGGGGGGTCAGGCGGTTTCTCAGTATGCTCAGGGAACTGGGGTGCACGCAGCGGTGTTGATAAGCCCGGTCCCCGGCCCTTGTTTATATTTTATTTAGAGACAGGGTCTCCCTGAGTTGCTCAGGGCCTCACTAAGTTGCTGAGGCTGGCCTCCACCTTGCGATCCTCCTGCCTCAGCCTCCCGGGCCTCTAGATTACAGGCATCTATCACCGTGCCCACTGGGACTCCCTTATAACAGACACACTGTCCCAGTAGGCCTGTGTCCTATTCAAGGAGATGTCACCATCACCCATTGAGCTGGACTCTAAATGTTTACCAGGAAGGAACAGAAAGGAGAAGGAGTCCCCAGCCTGGAGGCTTGGGATCTCTCAGGAACCCCTTTTGGACATTTGTGTGTGGGGGGGTGGAATCAACTGCTTTCAGGCTTGGAACCGGAGAGGGCCACCAGGGTCCTCTGGGGGGGGGGCGTGTCTGAAGAGGGGATCCCAGGCAGGACCTGGTGAGGGAGAGAGGCGGGGACCGGGAAGTGGAGGACAGCGGTCCACCTCTGCAAGGGTGTGAAGGCCAGCAGTTTTGGGGTTTCCTGTGACACTCTAAACATAGCCCAGGGGAAACCGGGGCTCATGTGCCCCCGTCCCCGGGGCCTTCCAGCTGCTGATGGTGACTCACTGGAAACCCCTGGTCTTCCATGCATGCAGACGGGCCGGGGTGACGGGAGAGATGGGAGGGAGGGCGTGCGGGTCCTACGCAGGGGAGAGCCTCAGAGGCTGCAGCCACAGAGGCTGAATCCCAGAACACGGTCATTACAGCTACGCCCAGCAGCCGTTTTGGCCCAAAATATCACCCTTCCCGGAAGAATCCGCCTGTCTGCCCAACACGGCAGGTTTTAAAATAGATTTGCTGCTGGGGTTGCAGCTCAGTGGCAGGGCACCTGCTCAGCCTGGGCAAGGCCCTGGGCTCCATCCCCAGCACCACAGAGAATAAAACGAAACCAAAAAAAACTCATAAACATACACTAGCTGCCGGGTGCAGGAGCTCACGCCTGTCATTCCAGTGGCTGGGGAGGCTGAGGCAGGAGGATGGCAAGGTGGAGGCTGACCTCAGCCATTTAGCAAGACCCTAGGCAGCTCAGGGAGACCCTGTCTCTAAATAAAATAGAAAAAGGGCTGGGGACGGGGCTCAGGGGTGAAGGATCCCTGGGTTCAATTTCAGGGACCAAAAATAAAATAAAAATAAATAAATTAAAAGTGTGCTTGCGGAGGCCACAGAGCGTTCCCTTTATTTACCAAGTATAAAGACGCCCTCCTCCACTATCAGTGAGCTGATTGTGTGCAAATATCTGAGGGAAAGTGCTAAAGAGAGATGTGTGTGTGTGTCTCTGTGTGAGTGTGTGTGTGAGCGTGTGTGAGGTATGTGCAAGTCTGAGAGTGTGAGTAATGTGAGTGTGTGTGAGTGTGAGTAATGTGTGAGTGTGCATGTGTATGAGTCTGAGTGTGTGTGTGAATGTGAGTAATGTGGTGTGTGAGTGTGCCTGTGTATGAGTGTGTGAGTGCATGTGAGTGCGTCTGAGAGTGTGAGTGCATGAGTGCGTGTGAATGTGAGTGCGTGTGAATGTAAGTGTGTGTATGAGTGTGTGTGTGTGCATGCATGAGTGTGAGTGTGTGCATGAATGTGAGTGCGTGTAAGTGCATGTGAGTATGAGTGTGAGTGTGTGTGAGTGAGTATGAGTGTGTGTGTGAGAACAAGTGTGTGAGCGTGCATGAGTGTGAGTGCGTGAGTGTCTGAGTATGAGTGTGTGTGCATGCATGAATGTGAGTGTGTGTGAGAGTGAGTGTATGTGTGAGTGTGTGAGAGTGTGTGGGTCTGTGTGCATGAGTGTGAGTGTGTGTGCATGAGTGTGTGAGTGTGTATGAGTATGCGTGTGTGGGTGTGTGTGAGTGTGTGCATGAGTGTGTGGTGTGTGTGTTGAGTGCATGTGACTGTGAGTGTGTGAATGTGTGTGATTGTGTGCATGAGTGTGTGAGTGTGAGTGTGTATGAGTATGCGTGTGTGGGTGTGTGCATGAGTGTGTGTGAGTGTGACTGTGTGTGTTATTGTGTGCATGAGTGTGTGAGTGTGAGTGCATGTGTGTGTGATCGTGTGCATGAGTGTGTGAGTGTGTGTGTGAGTCTGAGTGTGTATGAGTATGCGTGTGTGGGTGTGTGTGCATGAGTGTGTGGTGTGTGTGTGTGCATGAGTGTGTGTTGAGTGCATGTGAGTGTCAGTGTGTGAATGTGTGTGATTGTGTGCATGAGTGTGTGAGTGTGTATGAGTATGCGTGTGTGGGTGTGTGCATGAGTGTGTGTGTGTGACTGTGTGTGTTATTGTGTGCATGAGTGTGTGAGTGCATGTGTGTGTGATCGTGTGCATGAGTGTGTGAGTGTGTGTGAGTCTGAGTGTGTATGAGTATGCGTGTGTGGGTGTGTGTGCATGAGTGTGTGGTGTGTGTGAGTGTGTGCATGAGTGTGTGTTGAGTGCATGTGAGTGTCAGTGTGTGAATGTGTGTGATTGTGTGCATGAGTGTGTGAGTGTGAGTGTGCATGAGTATGCGTGTGTGGGTGTGTGCATGAGTGTGTGTGAGTGTGACTGTGTGTGTTATTGTGTGCATGAGTGTGTGAGTGTGAGTGCATGTGAGTGTGTGAATGTGTGTGTGATCGTGTGCATGAGTGTGTGAGTGTGTGTGTGTGAGTCTGAGTGTGTATGAGTATGCGTGTGTGGGTGTGTGTGCATGAGTGTGTGTGTGAGTGAGTGTGAGTGTGCGTGGTCTGTTCTTTCTCTGTAACTCAGGAGCAGGGAGAGGCGGCAGCTGCCAGGCGTGTCTGGGGGCGGCCCCGAGGTGCGGTCTCCCCGAGGCCGGGGTCCCACGTGGACAGAGAAAGAATATTTAGAAGGTTCGGGGGACGGAAGCCGCGCTGCGCTGCAGGGGGACAGATTTGAGTCCAGGTTCCTTGAGGGATGCGGTTCCAAAATAGATCACCACCCGTTTTACAAGGAATGTGTTTTTGTGGGAAATGTTTGAAAAAATGTGTGGACAATTTTTTTTTTGGCTTAATAACTATGAGAGAGACACAGAGTGAGTGGCCCTCCAAGGGTTCCGCTCACGGGGCCACCTCTGGGCTTGGGTGGCCGTGAGCTTGAGACAGGTCTAGCGGAATGGAATGCGCCGTGGTTCCCATGCCCTGCCGTCTGCTGTCCCCTTCCCCTTTACCCTCCTCCTCTTCTTCCTCACCAATTTTTTCTTTATTTTATAGCAGAGTGACCTTGGGCACTCAGTGGGGAAGGACATTGCTTTTCTTTTGGGAAGTTGCCAAAGGCGGAAGAGAGGGTCTGGGTGGAGGTTGCTGCTGGGAAATAGTCCTTTACTGAGTGATTTCGTGGCGTCGAGAGCAAAGTTCACATCTGTCATCCCAGCACCTCAGGAGGCCGAGGCAGGAGGATGGCAAGGTGGAGGCCAGCCTCAGCCACTTAGTGAGGCCCTCAGCCACTCAGCAACAGCCTGTCTCTGAATAAAATATTTTAAAAAAGCAGGCTGAGGATGTGGTCATTGGTAAAGTCCCCCTGGGTTCAATCCCCTATATGGATTTGCTCTGGTTTGGATCTAGAATGTTCTTCCAAGGCCCGTGGATTAGAAACTTGGTCCTCAGTTTGGCACTATTGGAAGGGGATATCTCCTTTAAGGGGCAGGGCCTAATGGGAGATTTTAGGTCATTGGGGTCATGCCCTCAAAGGAAATTATGGGGTACTTCTTCTCTTCCTCTGTCTCTCTTGTCCTGGCCATGAAGTGAGTAGCTTTCCTCCACGACACACTCCCCACTATGATGTGGTCTTTGAGACTTGGTCACAGTCCCAAAGCAAAAGGATCCACCACCAACCACGGATGGCAAGGCCAAATGAACCTTTCCTCTTTATAAGTTGATTTTTCTCATCCGTTGTGTTACAGTACGGGAAAGCTGACTGATGCAGTATTTAACAGCTACTTATTACTGCCCATGACACACACTGGAAATTCTTGGAACTCTTATTTCCTAATACCTGAAACCTGCCTCGATCGAATAACGTCATCGACTTCATTCTGCGACCATACTGTACACGTCTCTCATTTTATTTGTCTCGGGAATTCAAATGGGTAGCTTCAGAATGTCTTGGGGGATCCTTTTTTTCTGTCTTATGGGAACAGAATCCCCCCCCCAGGGCTCTCATTTCTCAAGGAATCTGTTCATGGTTCCTTCAAGAAACATGGATTGAGTAGTATCGTCCTCGGGGTTTTCACGGTGGAATAGAGAAAGGAACGAGTCA